AATTAACTAAGTATAAGGTTAGGCATATTGCGGTAAGAGAACTAGGGAACTGAAAAGGTGAGCATGCAAAGGTTAAAGTGGTGCACGCCTGTAATCCCAGCACTTTCAAGGCTGAGGCAGGAGGACTGCTGTAAGTTTGAGGCCAGCTTGGAGTACAAAGTGAGTTTAAGGCCAGCCTGAACTGCAGAGTGAGACCCTGTCTCAAAGAAAGACAAAAAACAAGAACAAAAACAAACAAACAAAAAATTCCCCCCAAACAGAAAAACAACTGTCTTTGCTTTATGATTTTTTGGTGTCACCTTCCAAAGAAGCTGGTGAGAGAAAGAAAGGACTTGGACTTTGTACCATTTGCTGCTGGCTGCGCTGGGGCTGGGTGGCAGATAATACGCGAGGAGCTGGTGATGTGGCCGTGAGCTATTTTGGGGCAGGCCTTTCTTTGGCCACCTACGGTATTTCAAGCGCACAAGTTCCCTGCTCCTTCAGGAGGCAGGGCCAATGGGGCTGTTTCTGGTTGCCATGGAGATGGGCTCCACCCTGAGGTTCCCAGCACGACCTCCAGGCTCCATCAAGTTGGATTTCCCCAGACCCAGCTGTGAGGTCTGTTCTGAGTGATTCCTGCTGTAGGAATGTTTACACAAAGCTCTGCCGTCCGTTTCCACATCTGTGCCTCCCAAGCCAGAGAGAGGCGGGGTCCCCTCTGATGATGGGCCAGCCCAGTACTGAGGAGTCAGGGCTGACAGACTCCTCTACCAGAGGGAGCTCTCAAGAGATCAGGGGAGGCTGAGGCACAGAGAAGCTTTGAGTTTCTTGCTCAAAGGCACAGTTAGGAGGTGGCAGGCCAGGTGTGGTGGCGCACGACTGTGATCCCAGCACTTGGGAGGCTGAGGCAGGAGGACTGTTGCAAGTTTGAGACCAGCCTGGGCTACAAAGTGAGCACAAGGCCAGCCTGAACTGCATAGCGAGACCCTGTCTCAAAAAGAAGGAGATGGCTCAGGTGGAATTTTTAGTCAAGATTTCCTGATTCCACTATGTTTTTTTTTTCTGGTGGTGAGAATCAAACCCAGGGTCTAGCCAGGTGTGGTGGTGCACACCTGTAATCCTAGCAGAGGCTGAGGCAGGAGGATTGTTTCGAGATCGAGACTAACCTTGGCTACAAAATGAGCTCAAGGTCAGCCTGAACTGCATAGGGAGACCCTGTCTCAAAAAGACAAAAAAAAAAAAAAAAAAATCAGGGTCTGTGTATAGTAAGCACATAGGCTCAGCACATATTCTACTACTGAGCTACATCCCAGCTTAACTTTCTGATTCCAGAATTCACAGATAAAACCATCTCCAAGCCAGGCATTGTGCACATGCCTATATCTCAGGACTTGGGAGGCTGAGGCAGGAAGATCATTTTGAGTTCTAAGCCAGCCCAGGCTACATAGTGAGTTCAAGGCCAGCCTGAGCTATGTAGCAAGACCCTGTCTCAACAAAACAAAACAGGGCTGGGGATGTAGATCCGTGATAGAGTGCCTGCCTAGCATGCACAAGGCCCTGAGTTCAATCCTCAGTTCCACACAAAAAAAGGGAGCAAAACAAAACAAACAAATAAACATTATTCTTATATCAAAGCCAGTCAGACACACTATGAAATAAAATTCAGGTTTTTAATGTTACTTAAGGCACACATAATGCCAAAGACTATTGCCTGCCTGTCCCTGGCCTGGCTCTGTTTACGGCCGAGCCTGTGTCAGTGGCGTGGGCTCCGTCTATTGCCCTTTCTCCAGAGGACTCGGTGGAGACGCTGAGCTTCTTACAGGCTTGGCAAGCACTGTACTCTTGAGCACAGTCCCAGCCCTGCCGTTCTTGTGCATCTTGAAGATGTGGCTGCGCCTCGTGTTCCAGACCATGAATGCTGGCATCCAGTGGAAGGAAGTGCGTGCTGGGCGTGGGGCTGAATGGGACACTTGACTGTGCAGCTAGATGCTGTTTCCCTCACTGAGGCAAAAAAAGTAAGTTCCAGCCCAATAGAAGCAGCTGCAAACGTCAGCCTCGCCCAGCTCACCCTTGTCTCGCTGGCCAGGCCCTGCAGCTCAGCCACAGTCTTGGTCCAGCCTCACCCTCTCTGCCTGGGAGGAGAGGAGGTGAGTGTTCCTTGGGACTTGGGAGGGCACCGAGGAGGGCCAGGAGAGGACAGTGAGCTTCTCGCTTCCTGAAGCTTAGGGAAGCACTGGGCAGTGCAGGGTACGGGACCCAATCATCTGCGGCTGCCCAGAGGGGAGCAACGCTGCAGCCCGCTTCTCAGCCAGTTGTTTGGAGCTCTGGAGCTTATTTTCCCACAGACACAAAGCTCAAGTGGAGGTTGGCAGCACGCCTGGCCCCAAGGAACCGTATTCAGCTCGCAGCACCATAACCTCAAGCCTTTACCCCTCTGCTGTTGTCTGGACTGCTAAGGGGTGGCAGTGGGGGCGTCTGAGTCCGCAGACCCTCGGCAGCTCTGCCAAGCTTGCAGCGTGGGAACTGAGGCTGGCTGAGCACAGCTCTTACACAGGCTGAGGCTGGGAAGCACGGCTATGCACGGATGTGTGCATTTAGCACCTACACTGTGGTGGCTTGGATTGGGCAGCTTGGTCGGCTCCTTACCACCTCTTAGCCTGAGCTCCACCTACTAATGGCAGCAGCCCAACTAGATCTGTTGCCCTCTTTTTCTTCTTTTTTTTTTTTTTTTTTAGTCTTTTTGAGACAGGGTCTCGCTATGCAGTTCAGGCTAGACTTGAGCTCACTTTGTAGTCCAGGCTGGCCTCGAACTCACAAAGATCCTTCTGCCTCAGCCTCCTGAGTGCTGGGATTACAGGCATGAGCCGCCACACCCAGCCTTAACTTTTTCCTCTTAACAGTCTTTCTTTTTCAAGCAATCTTGAATAACACAGATAACATCTTCTTTGATAAAAGTGTTGAAGGAGCCAGGTGTGGTGGCTCATGCTTGTAATTTCTTTTCTTTTCTTTTTTTTTTTTTTTTTTTTTTTTTGTCTTTTTGAGACAGGGTCTTGCTACGTAGTTCAGGCTGGCCTTGAGCTCCCTTTGTAGCCCAGGCTTGTCTCAAACTTG